AAATTAATGGTGAGATGATCATTGAAAACTATTTCGTGGTTTTGCTTGATGTTTTTTAGATGAAAATAGGAACTTTCGGGAGAGATTGTTTAGTGTCAAACCCCATACTTTTTCTAAAACACAACTGGAATCCCAGAGGCAATCGACTTTTACTATTGATGTATTTATCAGAGAACTGTACAAGTATTGGACTTTAATGTTAAGGTCTTATACACACCTCTGAATGTTTAGTTTTAATTTACACACTGTTGTGCATCTTGACTTGCAATAGATGACATAAAATCTATATAACTCACCCTTATACATAGGAAACAGCACATTTTCAGTGGAACAACCCTTGCGAACTGAATTCCCAGTTTTCTGGGAATTCCTAGGAATTCTCAAAAATTCCCAATTATGCAAATGACCCTTGCAAACCGAATTCCCAGTTTTCTGGGAATTTCTGGGAATTCCTAGGAATTCTCAAAAATTCCCAACTATGCAAATTAACTTAAAACTTAAAACTTTGGCTCAATAAAAGGTATGCTATACAAAACTTACCAAGAGATATACATACATGTACATGTTTATAACTTAAAGATCATGAAATTTATTACTCAAACTAAGTTTTAGTAAATCTTGACATTAATATGGATTTTCTCATGAACCAGCTGTCAGTTATGTTAAATGGAAATTGCCAACTTCCACAATAATTAACAATAATTACATTGTTATCTTACTTCCCTAACCTACATTACTGGTTGCCTTTGTTAGAAAACCTTGGAACAGTCAAGCTCAGTTGCCTCCAATGCTGTCAGAGACTTTTTGTTGACAATACTTTTAGTAGAAATTTCATGCCTTAGACAAACAAATTCAACACCTAATTAATCTTTCTTTTTTCATGATTGTTGTTGCTGCTTTTTTTTTTTTCAGTTTTTTGCTCTATTTTCATGACTAATTGCTGTAATTTGTTTTGCTGTTTTTATTCTTACAAAACATTTTTGTAAGAAAAGGGGAACATTGACTACCTCTGTCTTGTCTGCATGCCAAATGTTTGCAAAGTGTGTGGATGATCCACAAGTATTGGAACTCTTACAAAAATGTTTTGTATATGTTCCAATACTTGTGGATCATCCACACACTTTGCAAACATTTGGCATGTAGACAAGACAGAGGTAGTCAATGTTCCCTTAGAGGAAAAACACCTTTTATATGACGTCTTCAATTTACTTTATTTGAAACTCTGATCTGAAAATATTTGTCAACAAGACTTGTTAGTAGTGAGAAGTACCAACCAAGTTTCCTTTCATAACTTAATTTCTTAAATGTCCCAATCACTGGATCTCCCAAAAAAATATTACATCTTTTTATTCTTGGTGCAAATTACAAGTCCTTCTTTATATAAAAATGAAAAGTGATAGTCACACTTCAATAATAACAGCTCTTAAGTTTACTTGTTGTTCTTCTCTGTCTGTCAGCTATCAACAAGATTGTTTTATACTTCGGGCAGTGCATAACTATTTGTGGACCAGAGTTCCAACGCACCTCTGTAATCGCATATAGCTACTCCTGTCTATTGTACAAATGTTTCTCCTTTGTAAGACGCACTCTACTCTGTTGTCAATACTGCTTTAAGTTCATTGGAAACGACTGACTGAGGAATCGAGATGGCGGTGTTGGAACGTGTTGCTGAACGCTTGCTACGGTCAAGCTTTGTAGATTTAGGTACTGGTACACTGGGATCATCTATGTATCTCTTATACTTCCGAATGTGGTATCCTTCTTTTATAAGTATGAGGGTAAAAGACGATTTGTAGTCGCATTCAAAACTGTGATTGGCTTGTGTTATTTCTCACCTTGGCCATTAACACAACTCAAGTGAGTTTCGAGTCTTTGTTTCCTCGACAACTTTCGGCCACAAATCGTGCATTTGTAATACGATCGATTCTTTTCGATTATTTCTACATAGAGTGAGCTCACATCTTTATTTGTATCACCAAGCTATCCATCTTCTAGAAGCAGAGAACCGGTCGGAGAAGTCAGAATAAAGTCAGGCGCTTCTCTTAACACTGCAATCGGCAAGCCAGCGGATTCACTTTGTTAGCCAATTACAAGTCCTAAAAGATCCACGTGATCATGCCCGTGATCGGAAACAAAGAAGACTCCATTTGGCGCTCATCTTTGAATGTACTTTGGATCGGTTGATCGCTTTTCTCAACTGTTTTGCTTAATATAACATTTCTAAAGATAGCTTTTATTGTGGTTCAATGGGAAAACGAGAATAGCGTGAGTGTTGTAAAAGAAAAGAAAGTCGTTGGCGCCGTGGAGTTAAAAGAAGGGACAACAGTTGACATATTGACTGGTACAAACAAGGGTCGAGTCCATCTGTAAAGCTACGATTTTGAAAGTTTGTGGTGAGTAAAAATTGCGATATTCGTTACGTGATCAAAATCTTATAAAAGAATAGATGTAGCGGGTTGAATTAAGCTTACGTAACGCTCGGCGCAACTGAAACTAGAATAATTCTGAGAATCGAATCGGTCACTTGCATGCCGCAGTTTCTTAAGCTTATGCTTTACAATGAAATAAACCTATCAGTAAGGTTTCAAGATTCCTTTAGTCACGTTTGGGAACATTCAAGATTCATAATAGGAACTGTTATTAAACAAACCTCAGTACATAAAGAAGCCCTCCTTGGTAAAAACAAAATAATGTATTCAGCCCTTTTTTAGTAAAATCCATGAGAGAGATGTACTAACTCCAATATAAAAGTCACTCAATATAACAGAGATTTCTCAATTTGAGAATCCAATGAATGCCCTTTTCCTCATAGCCATCTTAAAAGCCTGGTCTGAGCTTTAAATATACATATTTTAATATTTTTTTTTTTTTCAAATTCAGATGTCAAGGAATCCAGATACAAAATGGTCAAGGTTCTTGTTGACAACCTCATTCAAGGCCAACTCATTGTGAGCCCAGGAAAAAAAATACAAACAGTACAAACAGCAGCTAAGTTTGCAGTTTAGGATAACTTCATTCTAATCTATTGTTACAGTTACAACAAGATTTTAATCAAAAAATCAATTTTATTTGTCTGTAATTAGCCCCTTCACTCCCAAGAGTGCTTGGTTTTCAAATATAACTTAAGATATTGTATTTTATGGAAAAGAATCAACAGATTTTATTCACAATTTGTGTCAAACCAAATTTAATGATTGATTAGAACTATTTTATATGAATAGCTGTAATTGAGGATTAATCCGTATGAAGTTTTCAAGAAAAGAAAAATAAATCAAATTCCATCCTAATATTACCACACATTGATGTTATTTAATCAAAAATATTTTACATGTAAGCCTTAATTAAGCTTCTTTTGGGTATTGTGGTAAATTTTACAAGCTAAAATGTACAGTATATTAGCCTCTTTGCACACCCATGGGATTGTCCAGACTGTTTCATAACCTTTTCTCAGTTTTTATGTTCTCAATGCCCTCCAGAGTGATAATAATAGTTATACAGTTAATGTTCTTGGGTATAAAGTTCTATGTTCTAGACCCTTTTCAGAGTTATTTTAGATCTTGCCTAGTGCCTCAAGCTAAAATGACTCTGAGTCTGGCCAAAAACATATTTTTGCCTACAAACACAAACTATATTGATTTAAAATACCATAATGTTTAATCAAAAATTACCAGTTTAATTTATGATTTATTAGAGCCTGCTCAAATAGCTTTCATAAATTTCTATTTAGTTTCATATGTAACTGAATGGTTCATCACTCTTAACAAATATTGTTTTTATATAGGATGCTGTCATTTAGAAATTAATTTACTAAGAAGATTACCATTTGATGGTCACAGACTAGAGTCATTGTACCTAACTTTATGATAGTCAAAGTCAGTCTAGATGCGATGGAAATACTACTTGAAAAATTGCTGCATTATCAATTGTTGGCCTTAACATGAAGTCACCTGTAATCTTATAAAATTTACTTCTATATGTATCTTGTTTACATTTCTTGTTTTGATTTAATGGGATTAATAGTTCTAGGATCTCCTCTGAATGTGATTGTTTGAAATAACGTTTGTCAGTGTTCTGAGCCTCCTGTTTTCAAACCATTATTATTAACCGTAGGAAAACGTTTTGCCTTAAAAAAAACTAATTGTATAAAATAATCGATAGTGTGTCGGTTTTTGGTCTAGATTTTAAAACCTGTCCTAATCTCTACGATTTAGAGTCGAATGTTCTCTCCAAATTGATGACCGTCATTTTGATGACGATTTTTGAAAAACGGTCATCCGCAAATTATTTCCCAGTTTTTATCATGTTAACAGCCAGTCGTTAGGATCTGTTTTTTGCGTTTTCTCACGCTCAAAACTTACAGAGAAGGACTTAATCTTTGCTTAGATTACTGAGCGAGTATCAGATTTGGTTTCTGTAAATAATTCGATCAACTTTTCACCAACGCAAAAGCACTAAAAACACCAGTCACCTCCACTGATCCTTCGTCCATTCTGACGTCTTCTTGTCCAACTACGAGTAAATTTTTCCGGAGATAAGTTACCTTTCTAAATAAGATGAAAAAAGCTCTCGCTCTATACTACCATCAACTTATTTAGAGCTTTGAAAAATCATTACAAATTTATAGCTTGTTCCCAACGCTCCTCTTGTTTGGGTTGTAGAATCACGTGATATGAATTCGGGCTTTAATTGGCTGCGTGTAAAATAGAGGGAAACAACGCCGGTTTTGAACTTTTATTTGCAAATTTTTGTAGATGATGATTTCCAACGTCTATCAGAGAACATTTTCGAAATGGATAAAAGGAATAATACTAAGAAATATATTTAGAAAGGGACAGAAAAATTAAATTGGACTGTAGAAAAATTATCCAATACCAACCCTAAAGATTAAAATGTTTGTCCCATAGGACCTGGGTACGAGGTAGTCCTTTACCGCGCTATCGTCATTCTGTGCTTACTGGAAGTAAGCGGAAGGAGACGCAAAGGTCGTTTCAAAAACGATCATGAATTTTACAATTTATGCAGACCCAGCTGTGTGCATTAAGTTCTCTGAGCAACAAGAGGTATCTTATGTTGTAGTTTGTTTTATTTGAGTGACCTTTCGTGTGGCAGAGGAGGCATCCGCTGGGGAAAAAAAGTCACTAATTGATTGCTTTTTCCTCAACAGGTTGCGACCAGTTCTTCTTCAAGCATCCAGAATCCGCTTCCCCTCACATCGTGGTCCGCTACAAAGACTTCCATAAATGAAGGCAGACTCTACAAAACAGACGGGAAAAGAAGAGCTCGAAACGTGGAGAGCAGTCGAAAATACAGGAAGAGGAGGTAACCGTGAAATCATTGACCTACATGTTATGAAGTACCTTTAACAAAGTTGAAAACTGTTAACTTTCAAGAAAATTTGAATTCTGTCCTGTTCAGAAATTTTCTGTGCAGATTTTTGCGAGGAAATATCGTTTCATAGTGACATACTGAAACACCTCGGCAGTAGACTGCAAGTGCTTGAGACTTCTGCAGCCAGTTTTCTTTTCTTTCAGGAGGGAACGCTTTCAAAATTTGGAGCAGGCAAATAAAAGACTACAGGAACAGATCGATGAAGTAGACAGACAACTACAACAGCTAAATTATGCTTTTCATTTATTTGTACAGCATGCTGAGTGTTGCGAGCACTGCTGCAATATCAGGATAGGTGAATAACTTCATAATTCTTGAAAGCAACCCTATTAGACAAACTCATAGCAGCAGCTGGATTATTTTTCATTATGACATTTGAATTGTTGAAGTAAAAGGCATGTCTGTGGAAATTGCCTTAATTTGGTCCTTAGATGGGTTAAAGCACTAATTTGTCAAATAAAAACAAAATTAACATTCAATCTTTGAATTTCTTTGGCTTAAGCTTAATATCAACCTTTTGCACCCCAATATTACCAGTATCATTCGTATTCTTCACACTGTTTTCTTTACATTTCCCATGGTACTGACAAGGAGAATTTGTTGGACAATCAGGAGCTTGTTAAAGTGGTGATCATTTCCTTTATTCTTGTGACTTGAACAAGGCTGATAATGATCTTTGCAATTTATGGTCAAAATGTTCTATACAATGTGAGACTCCAAATTAATGACTGCCATTTTGATGATGATTATCCACAAATTATTTTCAAGGTCTTATCATGTTAACAGCCACCTGTTTGGATCTGTTTTTTGAATTTTCTCACACTCAAAACTTACTGAGGAGGACTTAATCTTTGCTTAAACTCATGATTCAAGGGTGATACTTTAGGGAGAAATTGGAAGTCAGTCACTTGTAAGAGTTAAAGGGTTTATGCTCTGGCTCTTCAAAAAGATTATGCCCATTATTTTAAGGCCTCAAGAGTCATCATTGATATAAAGGTAAATATGCAAAACAATGTAAACTATCTGAAGAGAGTTAAGTTGAGCATATAGCTTCATCCACACTTCAGACACCCTTCAAAATTTACAACAATATACACTAATTCTTTAGATGAATGAGACTATACATATAACAAACAGATAAATTGCTACAGGTGAACTTTATTTCTTGTTATTGACTTCTTGACAATGTATCATTACCTACTTGTTATCATTCCCATTTTTGCCATAGTATGCTAATTTTGGTATTTTCCATTTGTGCAGAGGGGGGGGGGGGGACTTTTGACCTCCTCCATACACACACCAGCTAAGCTATACCCTTGTAAATTATATACATGAAAAAATTATGTGTGTATGATTGGCTGAAAACATTAAACTTTTCATGTAATAATGTACATGAAGAAATTACATGCTTCTGAGAGGCTGAAAACAAGTGTGTTCTAATATAACATGAGTGCAAAGTCGTAACACAGGTGGAAATTCCAAATAGTGCATGCACACTTTCAAAGTTTTGTCAGTCTACACTTTGTGATATTTTTCCATGTACATTATTAACAAGTAATAACATAATTTTTCATGTAATTTGGGGTTATAAGCACTCTTGAATTTTTCAAAGAATAAAAATTGCACTTGCTTTCCTGGCTCATGTAATTTTGTTGTTTTTGAAAAATTTACTAGTGCTTATTAACACCAAATTTCACTCAAAATCATGTTATTACCCATACTAACTCCAGTGAAAAGTTGTCACACAAGTGCAAATTTGTAACACAAGTGCTAATTACAAATAGCATGTGTGTACTGCCAAAAGTCCATATCAACTCTGTGATGTGTTTTTCATGTAAATTATTAACAAGTAACAACATGAGTTTTTGTGCAACTTCATGTAAATAAGCGCTTAAAAATTTTTTACAGGCTCATACAATTTTGCTGTCTTTGAAAAATTTACTTGTGCTTATTTACACCTATTACACTTAAAATTATGTAGTTACCGATACATAACAGCTGTATTCCACAGTCAATAGTCCCATTGTGCTTCATTTAAGTACTTGGCAATTTTGCACTTCTAGAAATTCATCATTAAATAGTGAAAAGATATATAACACATTTTAAGTAGAGAAATTTATAGACTAAGGTCCCACAAAAAACTTGTATTACTAAATAACTTACTATCCAATTGATTGTGTGCACGACATGGGGTGGTTAAGAGGTGCAAATAAGTTGCTCACAGGGCATCTCCACTGGTTCTTTACTCCTGATCAGTAGGAGGACCAACCTCCTTCCAACCCTCTCCAGGGAGGAAAAGAGAGGACCCTGGGAATGAGTTGGCTTAGGCAGCTTCTAGCTTATTGTTCACTACTGAATCAAAATTGTCAAATCCTTTAACTTGTCCATCTTTCAAGACCAAAATCTTCTTGCAGTCTTTTATCGTGTTCAAATGGTGAGCTATAATGATGACAGTGGACCCCTTCAGATTGTTCCGCACTACATTCCAAATCGTCTGCTCTGTGTCTGGGTCTACATGCGCAGTTGGCTCGTCCAAGACGACAATTTTACTTCGCTGTAGCAGCACACGAGCCAAGCAAATTAACTGCCGCTCTCCAACACTCACATTAGCGCCATGTTCCAGCAGTTCGTGATCCAGCTTAGCCTCAAGTGTCTCAACAAAATCTTTCAGTTGCATATCTCTCCATCAGCATCAGGCATGCGCATAAGAGCTGCTACAAAAGATGACTTCCCAGCTCCCGTACGGCCGACAACTCCGATCTTATCTCCTCCTTTGATGCTAAGATTGATGTTCTTCAGCACTTGAGGCCCCCCCGGATAGTAGGTCAGTGATAAATTTCTCAACACAATACTTCCTCTCCGAGGCCAGTCTTGTGGGGGTGTTCGTTCTTCCTCGTATCCGGGCTCCCGGTCAAGTTTGGTGTAGGTCATAACTCGCTCAACTGACGTCATGTAGCTTTCCACTTCAGAGGTTTTCCTAACAGCGTATTGAGTCGAGCTCAGAGTTTGGATGACGTAAACGAGAGCGAGACCAGCATAAGCTGGAAAAAAATTGGAACTTTATTTTAGAAATTCAATACCAGTTTTCTTCCGATTACTCGGACATATACGTGTAAACCCTAAAAAGGCTAGGTTACCTAGCTGGGTCCAGGCAGTCACCCGCTAATAATGAGAGTGCACGTATTTTTACACTTATTGTATTATTCAGTTGTTCATGCTGTGTTAATACACGACCATACAGATTATTATTTTACACAGAAAGACTAAAACGTTACTAAGAATGAGCTTACCGGCATCTTGAGATACCAAGATTGCAGCCAGAGCAACTGCACCGACTAACAAGGAAGCGAAACAATCCAAACGTGCACCGAGCCACCTACCGCTGGCCATCACCATAATGTACGCCTGATTATGAACATCTTGATGTCTGAAGGGACGAGTGTTTATCACAATAAGTTTTAATAATGGAGTGATTTTTCAGTTGACTGTCGAAAATAAACCGCATTTTATAAGCTTTGTATTATTTTGCTTCGTGATTGGTCCAGCAAACTTGCGCAAAACCAACCGCCTATCGGTCGTGTGCGTTTATCCGCGCTCAACGTCGTCTCCTTGTTTTTTAAGACCTCTTTCTCTACTTGTGATCTTTTCTTTTGTTCTGATTGGTTTGTTGTTATTAAATTGCACATTAGACTTAGACCAGTGTCTCCTTTGGCCTGACAATGTAATGAAGCCCTTCAACAAATTCCACCCGACCCCCATCCTATCAAAGCTAAAGGTCTTTTAGCTAAATGTCCAAAAGATCGCTTCCGTAACCACATCTCAGTCTTAGGTATGCTCTACTCGTCAAGATAAAGGGAGAGCCTTTAGAGCCCAATTTGTTAACAATATGGATATTTTTCCAAATATTGACTGACCGTTCGTATTAAGGGTCTGTTAAAATCCCATGAGAAGAACGAAAACAACAGAGAGAAATTACTGTGGTCTTACCACGGGTAATGCCCTTCGTGCCTATTTTGGATAGCTTCATTTCGCCAAGGTACCTTGTATATGGAAAAGTCCACTTGCTGACCAGTATCTTAGCAAGTACCAGAAAGGATTACAAAAGAAGCGTGATACAGTTGCGTGTATCGCCGGTAAATAAAAAATATATAGCTTAGAGAAAATTGCGGGGTAATTTTGGGTGGAGATGGTGTAAATTAAAACTCATTTGTTCCCTGTGCATTTATTGACTCTGATATCACACACTGAATCGATGTCTCTAACATACCTGTAAAGTGCATCCACAAAATCTCTCTGTCTTCCTCTCGTACGAATCGTGTCCAGTCCTGTCAGGGTCTCCGTAAAATGAGCGAACACTGGGCTTCGAGATATCGAATCTAATCTCTTTAGTTCTCTGGCAGTCTTCAAGTAATAATTGGATAGAAAAACCACCCACACGGAAATTGGAACAACAAGAAACATCAGCCAAACATTTGTGGAAACTGTTACCAGAATTTGGACAAATATGACCAAGAGCATCTGCATTGCTACCAGGAACGTTTTGGGTAACAACTCATCTACGCAGCCAATATCATTGGAGAAGCGATTTAGGATTCTTCCTACTGGATTTGAATCAAAGAACAGGACAGGAGCTCGTAAAATGGCCACAACCATGTTATCGTGTAGACGCTCGGCGCACTTTAGAGAAACTAGGAGGAATCCATAAGCCCGAACGATAGTAAATATAAAACACGCGCCAACCAGACAGGCGAAGACGGATAGATAAGTCTTGTTATTCTGATCATCTGGGTTTAGCCTTGCAAGAAACGAGAGCCACAAGTCTGGAGCAGCTATGATGGCTGAAAGAGACAGCATTAAGATGTGGTGGTTGAAATGTATTTCTATACGATCACTCAATTGAACATTGTAAGATTTAGTGGGCCTAGACACAACTCGCCTGGGTTACCTACTACCGTTAGTATCTTGGGGATGTTTATGTAAGCACCATAATGTCACAGAATAGATGAAGCAGTCAACCATGTTACACATAAATATTGTTAGAAAACTGCATTTGGTCTCAGAAAGTTAGTTTTTAGAACGAGTGGTTTTTTAGCCGTTTTCAGGCGAGTGGGGCAAGTGCAAGGCAAACGCGAGGAGCAAGACACCAGCTCTTCCTTTCGCGTGCGTGACTCGCCATTCACGTTCGACTAGCGCTTGCCTCGCGCTTGTACGAGCAAGTGAAATATCGGGAACATGGTGAGAAAAATTTGTGCAGTGTCTCTTAACTCTACCGTCTAATCTAAAACCAACGCGTATTGCTGGTT